GGGCAAAAAGAGTGTTCTGGCCTTATTCCCAGTTGATTGCCACTAAACCGCCCCCAGGCAAGCACACTCTCCCCAATCTTGGTGTTCCTTAAGCCGGTTCCTGATTTGGCAGCCACGCTAATTTCCAAAGCCTTGGCCGACGGCGCTTATGAGCTCTGGACCCATGAAGTTCGCATTACGTATGTAAAATAGTGCAGAAACCCCCCCACCCCCCACCACCCACTGGCCCAGCCGAACCGCCGACCCCCGTCCTCAAGCCCCCGCAACCTTTGGACACAACTTACGCACTTTACATACAACATGGGGGGGGGGGGGATGGTTGGGAGTGGGTGGTTAGGAGGCTGTGTATTGGCTTTTATTGTAAGTTAAGTTGCTGTTCATGTGTGTGAGTGGGGTGGAGGGGGGGGCGAATGGGGGTGGACGGGCAGTTTGGCACTCGCCATTCTTCGTCCGTTTCATGTGTGCCTTCTGAAATTTAAAATGTTCTGTGGAAATTGGTTTAGCTATGTGCCTGCCAGCGCATGTGTGTGTGCTGGGGGGTGGCAGCTTCCTTGTACATGTACAAATCGCAGGTGGGTGAATGTGGCCAATGCCTCTCCTACATAAACATAACGAAAATATGGCTAGATCCAATATGCCACACTCGACTTGAGGTTCTCGATTGTAAACTTTACTTTATGCATATCGTGGACTTCTGATTATCCGAAAGTGTTTTTAAAGTCTGTACACTCTGGCGTTATCTTCAGTTCCCTAATATAAAGTTATTTAATTACTCCCGAGTTTACGATAATAAAAGAAAGGTTATACTTTTCTGTAAGTCCTATATTCCAATAAATTAATGTTTGTCTATCAAAGCGTCTTAACGACGTTTGTGCTCCTTTTTCTCTAATACAACATTCGTAATAAACTAAATTTTTTTTGGTAGCCACCTGGGATTATATCCTTTCTGCCAGGGACCTTAGAAAATGTCACTATTTGATGTACCCTTTCAAAGTAACAGCTTAAGCAGGTTCGACCAAGTACTTTCTGTTTGCATCGAGGCAGTAAAGTACTCGGATTACTCCAAGATATAGTAACTTTAAATAATTTAAGAATTACGGTTTTAATTTTATTAAATTCGGACGACTATGCCTAGGACGATGTATTGGAAAATCGACAGAGCTTCATTTGTTTTTGATAATGCATGCATAAAATCATAATAGATTACACAGAATGATCGAAAAATGTATCGGAAAATCGAGAGATTGTTTTTGACAATATACGCATAAGAAGCGAAATATTGTCGGTTTGTTTTATAAAATTTCTAATTTTGTAATTTTGTTTTATAGAATATCAAAATTGTGTAACAGCTGGAGGGTATATGTATAAACTTCGGCTGGCGGAATTTTGCTTCCGTTCTTGTTTAATTTTACCTAAAATACTAAGTCCGCAATTAAGTTTTAGAACTAGAGTTAAAAACATATTTTCTAAAGTAAAGGACAATTTCTAAAATAAATGGCTATTTCGCCCAGTGTTAATCACTATTCAAGTCAGATTATGTTTTATAGAATTTGTAATTTTGTTTTTTAGTATATCTCAGTTGTGTAACAGCTGCAGGGTATATAAGCTTCGGCTGGCAGAATTTTGCATCCGTTCTTGTTTAATTTTACCTAAAATGCAAAGTCCGCAATTAAGTTTTAGAACTAGAGTATAAAAAAATATTTTCTAAAGTATGGGACAGTTTCCAAAATACATTGCTATTTCGCTCTGTGTTAATCGCCATTCGAGTCAGATTATGCCAGTTTGCCCCACAGTGCGGTGTAAGGCTGGAATCGCCTGGAGTGCTCGTTGTGTGCTTGATAGTGGAGCGGATAGTTTTGCTGGCCATAAATTATTAACCGTCCTTTGTAGTTTACAACCGCATCCCCGCACCCCCGCTCCCACACAGCCAAACATGTTTGTACATAATAGGCAAGTCAGCGACACACTTTGAAAGGATTAAATTCTGTTTTTGTAATTAAGTTGAAATTTATAATCAAGGCGAGTTCTTGTTTGCATGCAAAGGGTGGTTAAATAGTTCGGATGGGGCCTGCTGGGGGAAGTGGACGAACAGCTAGTTATACATATATATAGGTTGGACTAACTTTTGCTCATGCGTACGTGTGTTCCTGTGTGTGACTCTGTTTGGGGCATTTTGTCTCAGGCAAAGTAGTTTTCAAGTTCTGCGACCACAGACAAACAAATGGAAGATGCCCGGATGGGAGCCGAAGCGGGCGAAAGTTTGTGCTTGCTTTTTTCTGGTAACTTTGGCATTTGCACGCCTCAGCGCATTCGCAATCCGAGTTCAAATCCATAGCATACTTTTGCGGGCGGCATGTTTAATTTATGACCGAACAGCACCCCGCCGCATACACACGCACACACACATGCTTTCGAATGTGTAGTTTTCTTTTTGCTATTTTAAGCCAGACCCAGTGACTTAGTTCCCACAGCTAGCACGGATCTTTGGGTTAAAGTCCTGCGGAGAAATGCAAAATCACGGCGAAATTCTTGTTTTTATTTATTTATTTTTATTTCTTAGCCTGGCAGTGACAGGCCGAGGCGACATCAACACACTCAGAAAAATAACTCTATTATTGCAAATAAAGAATTATTTTTTGAAAAGCCTTGATTCAAAACTAAATTTTCATTTCTTTCTTAAGCTACTTATAAAACTAAATAATCCCAAAAAAATAACAACAAAACTATATTGAAAACCTTTCAGGGGAATTAATCCCAGACCCTTTTTAACTTCCCAATGTTAGAAATTCCATTCTAAAAGGATTTCAGAAAATGCCTTAAAACTATGTGTTTTGTAATTTCTTACAACAGAGATTCTTGGAATTGAGGAACATATTTTTTAGAGTGCATTGGTCCTGCCCCGCAATCAACCTATCCGAGACTCCGCCCGCCACCCACCACCCCCTCCCCCCGAGCTGGGGTTGACTAAAAGGGTTGTCTTGTCCTTGTCCGCCTCTGACGTCCACCGAAAGTTTACAGAAGAAAATCATTTGATAAGAAGAGCAGAGAGAGCGAGAGCAGAGACAGCTCGGACACAATTTCCTACTTAAAAAAAGAAAATCGAAAGGGGGCATCTGGTCTGTCAACTACATAACATTGCGAATGAAAATTTAAGGGAAAATTTCCCTTTCTTTTTTCCTGCGTTTTGTCCCGTTTATTTGTTCAGACTTGCACAGACACAGATACAAGCACGCATACATATATGCGTGTATACAATTGCTTTTCACGTAATTTATCATTTTCCTACTGCCGACATCGAAATTGCAGATTTTTAGTCGTCAGTCGTTACAAAAAACCTCGATGAAAATTTGCTTAGCAGAGCTCAGTTTTAGATTTTCTCTCTTTGACCACCGATTCGCATGTGAAAGGAACTGTAAATTATAGAATACGGTTAAAAAGAGGGACAACATATGTGTCTGGTTCTTTTTTAATGATATATGAATGTGCAGGAGCAGGAACTTTGTACTTTGAGTCTGTGTCAACATGTCTTATTCAAAGGAAACAGGGTAAAAATTATCCTTAATGATGATCGATTTTATTAACTTTAAAACAAGGAAGAAGGCCAAACTATATACCCTTTCAGCAATAACAAAAAGTGTTATTATGTAAATCGAATGTATCATTTGTTGCAAGCCGGCTTATATCCACGGGGAAAGATTCTGTTTCCGTTTTAAGAAAATATCCTGTAAGTAGGTGCAACTTAGAATTCGTCTAGGCTAACATGATTTTTAATTTACCAAATACCATTAATATTAAACAGAATATTTTTCAGAATTAATTATAACAAGAAAGGAAAGCTAACATTTTCTTGGCAAAGTTTGAATCAAAATTGATGGTATATTTATAAATATACTTAAAACCTACTCTTAAAATGTTTTCAAGATGAGTTAAGGAAGACAATGAGTCCAGAGCGTCGAAATGAAGAAGTGGATCCCGAATTAAGTCTAGATTTAAGACCACATACCTAACGGAAATATCGGGCTGCTTGACAAAATTTCCTACTGATTACAGGCCTTAATTCTGTTTCGAAAACAGTTTTATATCCGTTACTCGTAGAGTATTCGTTGTATTCTTTGCAAAATATTTACACATTTCTCAGACAATTTAGCCACGCCCACTCTAACATAATTGAAAGTAATAGAATCACAATTGATAAACTCACATCTAATTTTGTAATTTATTTTCGATCAGCGAATAACGGAAATATAAGGCGTTGCAAACTTGTGACCTAAATTAAAATATCCCCTGGTTATAAAAAGCGAATGCTTATCGCTCTCGTTTCGTACATATGTATGTATGTGTCTAGCTAGATTATAATCTAGAACCGCAGAATGATCTTCAGATGCTACTGAAAGTGCTTATCTGTGCACAAGTATGTTTGTAGGCACCGTCTTTCGGTATTTGAATTGATTTCGGGAATCACATTCAACATCAGAGCAGAAGTGCAATCGTTGCCTTGACTTTGCCCCTTGAGTAGCATCCACCTCCAATATGCAGACCCAAGAATAATATCTTCAGGCTGCAAAGTACCCTTACCCAGATCATTTCCCCAAACTCCCTTACATACCCATCAAATTGACTTAATACAAACTTTTTAAATACGCAATTAATTAATAATGGTAGAAGGCATCCGAATGAAAAGAAAAGCGGAAACTTGCATAGTCCCGATCGTTTTTATAGGGAGTGTCGTTGAATGAATGTTGCCCGGGGTCCAGATTCAGGATTCCGGATTCAGGACACAAATTGAGCAAAGTCTACAAAAAGACCTGCCCTCTCCACTTATCCATATTTGTGTTACTAAAATACGCAGATCAGTTGTAAAATAATCTCAATCACTTCCATTTATCAAATCTCCCTTTTCATCAAATGAAAACAAATTAATACCAGGAACCATTAAGAGTACACTATAGATTTAGTAGTTTGTATTAATAATCAAATATATTATATTTTAACAGTGCTACTCAGAGAGACTTGGGCCTTATCATCATTTCAGAGAACGTCAGTGATATCCGCCAGTCGTGGTTATGCCATGAGCCCCAAGAAATTCCTCCATAACCTTTGCCATCTTTGAAGTATTTTCCATTGAGATAACTGTAATAAAGTAATTAAAGTGATTATAGTAAGAAGATTTAAGCAGAGCAGGTATACCTTGATGAACATTTATTGTGCCACCATGCACCTAAACCATGGGCACAATTTTTATCAGAATTGTCATTATCCCGATCAAATGTGGAGAACTTTTGGTTCGTTTTGTTTGTAAGGAAATCTCCGGCTTCACCAGAATATTTCCCTAGATTCTTCACCTCGTACAATTCCTCCTCACTCCCAATCTTAAAGTCATCATAATGAGCGTAGCTGGTGGAGCCATCAACCTTTCCAAGTTTAATGTAGAGTTCGTGGGCTCGTGTCTCAGTCATCCGATGCAATTTCTCCAGCCCGATGAAGAATTCTCCCCTGGCATTTCCAAATCCATTTTTGTATTGCTCCCAGGTTCGACGAAAGTTCACGGATCCGTCGATGCGCCTCTGAATTACAGTCCAACCAGGTGGAGACGACGCACATGACACCTTAAATGGTTCCATCTCCCTGAGTTTTATTTGGTATTCCGAAAGCTGACTAGATAGTTCTGATTTTGATTTCTCAATCGCTTTAATTCGAGTCGTAAAGTCCGAGATTTGTTCATCCCTATTTTTAAGGTGCTCCTCTTTCACCTTTAAAATATCTTCTTTGTTTTTGGTTTTAACTTTGGATGTTTTTAACTGACTCTGCAAGTCTGTTATAGTGTCTTTTAAGGAGTTAACTTGGCTCTTAAGTTCATCGTTGGCATCGGCTGTTATTTTCATCTGTAATATAGAACAGGCGATAAAATAATAATCATTACATTCGTTTTCAATATTTTAATTAGTTGGTTACTGCAATAAATCTTAATTGAGCTTACAAAAGAAAGTATTGATAGCATTGTCGATTCAAAACAAACTAAAAAAAATTTGTGTAAAGAACTTAATTTTCTAAGAACGGTTATAGTTGTGTTTTTATACATTAAATGTACCTATAAACAGAGATAAGCAATTTCGATGGACTTTCTAAGATTTCTATTTGTCTGTTAGTCTGAATCTCTGGCTGTATGTCTGCTATCCGTAACTCACCGTCCTAAGTTCCTCCACTCTGTTAAATCCCGCATCCAGCTTGGCCTGCAGAGCCTTAATTGAATTCGCGAAGTCTTTTTTTGTGATCAGTTCCTGCAGTTGGTTCTTCATTCCGGCCTTCAGATCCTCTTGTCCTTGCGCCGTGGTCATCCTAAAGGAATCCCTAAGGGCTGTCTGCCCTGCCTCGATTTCATCCAGCCTTTTTCGGATATTGCGAGAGTGGACGAAAAGTGGATTGAGTGCGGCCAGGCAAAAGGAGCCGCATTGTGTTGGTGGATCTTGGAGAACACACAACGACTGATCCTTTGAATTGAGCACAATTCCTCCTTGTACACTTGGAAAAATTAATAAGCCAAGCAAATAGGGTAATAGTCTCAGCATCTTAAGTTGCTCGACCTACTCAAAACGAATTTAAAAAGTGTACTAAAATGAATTTGGCATTTAAAGAAACAATGAAGCCTGAAATATTAGGAAATATAATATATTCTTATCTATAGTACGCGGCCGTCCAAGTCTCTCATCCGTCGGCCAACAATGTATAAGTTATTTAATTGTGTTTATTTATTTAGATACCAAGGTATTTCTTTATTTAACTTAAGCCTTTTCAAGCCAAAGATATTTTAATTCATACAATGGATTGTTAATTATAATGTTGATCGCCAGCTATAGCTGCGGAGTTCAGTTTTAAACTAACTTAAAGGTCTGTCCCGGTCGCACCATGAAGCCCTTATTTGCGCTGCAGCGCAGTCGCCTAAGTGCGATGTCAGCATTCCGTATCCAGCTAGCGACAAACACTCGCTGCAGGCGTGTTGGGACCGAGCCTCGGGCAACTGCCCTGGGAATGCGCGATCAGCAGTTTCGCCCTTGCGCGTGTTGGCCGTCGGATCCGGTCTGCAATTTGGCAATTTTTCCAAATTCTTTTTGCGCGTGTTAACTTATATGTATGGACTAGCATATAAATAGACCTGAACTAATGTTCCTATCGCTCGAGCGATTTAAAAAAGCAGTTTCTAAGCGTTCCAAATAATGTTTGTGATATGAATTCGATGAATGGTGGTGTTTACTAAGTGTTTGTGTGTTTAAACGGTTGAAATCTATCGTGCTGTCTTTGTACTTAAGTGTTAAAGTGAATTGTCTAAAACGCCTTTTTTAATTAGAAAACTAATTTTTAAGTAGAGTAACAAAGTGAGTCCAGCGGAGTCCACTTCTGAAACCTATTGAGATTTGTAGAGTATTAAATTCTTTTTAAAATGTATATGGTTAGAATCGCCACTTATTGCCACTTTTTCCGAAACTTAATTTTTAAGCACATAACCTCAAGTTTTGCAACCTTAACAGTAGTTGCGTTGAATATTAGAATCCTTTTGATTTTCAATGAAATATTGAACTAGAATCCGAAGGGCATGATGTTTAATAGCAGGTGCCATTTTTTTACTTATTAATAAAATTTGTTTAATCCGATTTTTGTGCATTTACATTGAACCGTTGTGGAACGAAGAACATTTTGTTTTGCATTTTGAATTCTATTCAGAACCAGAAAAAAATATAAACAAGAAAGGAAAGCTAACTTCGGGCGGAGCCGAAGTTGATATACCCTTGCAGAATACTCTGTAAATTATATTCTCCAAAATTATTCATATGATGCATTCTTAATACTCATAAAAAATCCCAACTTCCTAACTTTAAAAACACCAAAGTTTTGGCATTTCCAATCGTTCAGTTATATGGCAGCTATAGGATATAGTCGGTCGATCCTTATGAAATTTGATAGGTCGGATTGATTGGCTAAAAATAAAACCCATAGAAAATCCCAACTTCCTAACTTAACAAAAACCAAAGTTATGGCATTCTCGATCACTCAGTTATATGGCAGCTATAGGATATAGTCGGCCGATCCTTAAGAAATTTGATAGGTCGGATTGATTGACCAAATATAAAACCCATAGAAAATTCCAACTTCCTAACTTTACAAACACCAAAGTTATGGCATTTCCGATCAATCAGTTATATGGCAGCTATAGGATATAGCCGTTCCGACATATATACTGCGTGCAAAGGAAAGAAGGGTGCGTGCAAAGTTTCAATTCGATAGCTTTAAAACTGAGAGACTAGTTTGCGTAGAAACAGACAGACGGACAGACGGACAGACGGACATGGCTATATCAACTCAGGAGGTGATCCTGATCAAGAATATATATACTTTATAGGGTTGGAGATGTCTCCTTCACTGCGTTGCACACTTTTGACCAAAATTATAATACCCTCTGCAAGGGTACAAAAAATATAATATAAATGTATTTATAAAGTATATAATAAAACAAGAAAGAAAAGCTAACTTCGGGCGGAGCCGAAGTTGATATACCCTTGCAGAATATTCTGTAAATTATATTCTCCAAAATTATTCATATGATGCAATCTTAATACTCATAAAAAATCCCAACTTCCTAACTTTAAAAACACCAAAGTTATGGCATTTCCAATCGTTCAGTTATATGGCAGCTATAGGATATAGTCGGCCGATCCTTATGAAATTTGATAGGTTGGATTGATTGGTTAAAAATAGAACCCATATAAAATTCCAACTTCCTAACTTAACAAACAGCAGAGTTATGGCATTTCCGATCAATCAGTTATATGGCAGCTATAGGATATAGTCGGCCGATCCCGGCCGTTCCGACTTATATACTGCGTGCAAAGGAAAGAAGGGTGTGTGCAAAGTTTCAATTCGATATCTTTAAAACTGAGAGACTAGTTCGCGTAGAAACAGACAGACGGACAGACAGACGGACAGACGGACAGACGGACATGGCTATATCAACTCAGGAGGTGATCCTGATCAAGAATATATATACTTTATAGGGTCGGAGATGTCTCCTTCACTGCGTTGCACACTTTTGACCAAAATTATAATACCCTCTGCAAGGGTATAAAAAAATAAATTATTCGATTATCTTCAAAATACAACAAAGTTGAATAAATCGATCGTATGGCAGCTATGGGATATATTTGTTCGATTCCTTTCTTTTTAACATATATATTGCCTAAGGATACCAAAAATCGATTGGTAAAGTTTTATCTCGATATCTCTAAAATTGAGCGAGTTATTAATTTTGGCCAACAAAAGTGGTCGTTCGCCCCATAGTACGCTCATTTGTGCTTTAAATATTTGTGCCAGTATTTGTTAGTTTGGAAAACAACAAAAAAGCGCTATTTTTTTAATCATCTGAAAATACATTTTTGCTTCTTTTATTTGAGGTTGTATGTGCGCCAATATATTGATAGACACTTTCTACTAGGCTTTGCTGAATCATGAAAAATGTAAAAAGCATTTTTGATATTTTGAACGAACGACCCAAACTTATTCCTGTTGATTGTCTAATTTTTTAATTTTGAACCGAAAAACAAGTACAATTTCACTTCTAGTTTGCTCTAAACAGGTAAAAATATACCTCACAATTGAATATCATAGTACATACTGCTTGCTGTTTAAATACCTTAATACATGATACTTAAAAGTTATTTGAAGAACTTTCTGAATAATGAATGCTTTGATTCAATAAAAGGTTCTAACTTTTTGGCAAACTAGCAAGATCTGCAGTAAGTTTTATTCCGCATATTATGTAAAGTTGCATAAAAGTAAACAATAAAACATTTAGATCTTGGAAAGAAAAGGACAAAATATATTTATTCTTTTATAATAAAATATGAGCACTTAACAAGTCTGGATGTGTAATACCTTACCAATTGTTTCTTGGTCCTTATATAATATATTAAATTTTTAACATTTTTTTATTTATTAATTTTTGAAATGACTTTCTCTCACTCCTTGTTCGAATATCATACATCGTTAAATTTGTTATAAAATCACCTTAAAATTTACGGCATCCAACTTGGTAGTCATCTGAGCGGTCTAAAAAAATATCCCAAATAAAATCCAGATTCCAAAAACAAATACACAAAGAAAATCTCGAATCTTTATTTTCAGTTTTTTTTTACAAAAACCCATGGAAATAATGATCAGATCTTGGAATGTGATATCTTGTTGAATGCGTAAGAAAATGTCCAATCTATTGGTATTCCGTGCCATGAAAAATTATGAAAAATGCGAAAGTCGCTAGAAAAAACACAGCAGTCATTCTTTTTGCTGTGCGTCTTGTTTTGGCAAAGTTAGAACGAAAAACCCTTAATGTGTTAAAATGTGTTTTTAAAAATATATGCCCAAAATCCGGAAAACTGCAAATTGTTTTTTGTTTTTTTGAGGAAAACCCAGGAAAATAATTTTTAATTTTTAAGGGTCGAGAACCGCTTTAACATCTCTGGCATTTTTGATTCTATTTATACATATCTGTACATTATTTTAGAAGTACTGTACAATTAATATGCATTTTTTAACCAGATATCTATTATTAAAACTAAATAGGCATAATAATCGTGGTTTAACCGCTTCAATTCTGGCCGAAAATCATTAGCCCATTCGTTATTTAGGACGGTACCTGTAAAAACATTGGTGGTAAAGCGGGGCTAATGGTAATGAATTGTAAATGTTTGTCTTAGATTCCGTGTGACCTAGCCAGTCCTTCCTTGGGCTCCTGTTTCTGCTCGGGACCCTGACCCTGCACCCCGAATCTAATCCCACTCCTGCTCCTTTACTCCTATCCCGTCATAAACTTGCAGCCTGCGCTTTTGGCACAACTCATTTCCGGCCTAGGAAGATAAGCCCGTGGTCCTTGGTCCGCTGTTTTCCTGGAAAGGTGGGGGAGCGGGAAAATGGGAAAGTGGGAAAGCGGAAAAGTGAGAAAGCGGGATCGTTGCAAGCCAGCAGGAACCAGCCACCCCCCTGGACACTTGCCACCGCCCCTCCCCCGGACAATCTGTCCACCTTATCATGGTAATAACTGTAAGCATGTAAGCCTGGCCGAAGGGGGTGATTTCGTATTTTTCTTTACATTTCTTTGCCACTTTTCCTCCTCGCTTTTTTCGGCTTTTCTGCCGACGCAATTTCTGGTAACCCTTTTGGGCACTTTCACCCACCTCCGGACCGCTTTTTCTTTTAGAGATTTTCGCTCGTTTTTTATGTGTGCTCTTGCCGTTGTTGTTGTTTGTATATTTTCTATATAATTTTGTGCGTCTGCTTTGCCTTCGCTCCTTCATTCCTTGCTTCCCATCCTTTCACTTTTTGTGCTGGTCAGCTTTTCTGCACGCTTGGCAAACATCGCAAAAAAAAAACAAAGGGGGTAGAAAGGGTGGTAGATGCTTTTTAAGGTTGATAGGGGCGGGGGCGGGGGTGGGGAAAGAAAGCCATAGCCAATTGTCCAAACGTACGATTTGCGTGTACAGTCAAAACTGGCACTGTCAACATGGTCCCCTGATTTTGAAAAAATTAAACAAGCTACTAAATCTT